GGCTTCCGGGGGTCTGAAACCCTCAACGCCTCAACTGTTCTAGGCAGCCCTTAACCCGTTCGGACTTGATCACCATCTTGGTATTGCTCACGAAGAGAAACAAGGCTAGGGTTTGTAGGGTTTAGGGCTTTAAGTTTATAGGGTTTAGGGCAACGTAGTGTGAAGCAAGAGAAGTTGATGATGATGCCCCAGATGGCGTGCCTTGCAAAGCAAGTCCATGATCTAAAGAGAGCGCACGTGGTGCTTCGCATGTGTTGACCGACAAGCGAAGACTTGGGTGCGCAGCACACTGGACCACCTGTGGTACGATGACATGACCCAGCTAGATTTTCGGAAAGCTCCTCCTGTCGATTTCTATATGGTTGGCTTTTCCATGCCAGGCCTTCAGCCTTGCTTTAGCAGAAGCCAGCCGGCTTTTCTTTGCGCTGGCCTAGATCTTAGGGACTGGGTGGGTAGCCTTTAACCTTTTTGGTTATACCGAATCTTACAATGTATAGCCCCTAAGACATATACTCTTGAACCAGCCCCCCTGGCAATCTAGGAGAAGGTGGCACGGCTGTTGAAACCACACGAGGGCTTCTTCTTATCGTTTGGTTCACGTCGTTCGGGCGTTCGCTACGTTCATTTCATTCATATCTTCATTTCTTTCTCTAATTCACTTCTCTCTTCGTATTACTATTTAAGAGAACACAAGTATAAAGAGGTGAGTTTACGAGCGAATGGCATGAATTGTGTGAACGTGAACTCGCTTCATTCGTTCGTTCATTTGTAGAGCGCGTACTCTTCCTCATTTTGCGCTCTGTACTCGTTACTTCGTTCATATTATTCCCGGGTTTTCTCGCTTCTTTTCATTCATTGAAAACTCCCCGTTAATAATCGTCTCTTCGTAGTGCACTTTATTCACTCCTGGACACCTTTGGAATCTTCTCCGTGTTCCTTTCCTTCGTTCCATATTAAATTGACTTGCAAGGAAACGCGGCAGTCATTTAATGTCGAACGAAGGCAAGAGACAAGGGTAAAAAGTCATTAACATATTAGCAAACGCGCTCTTTACCGCCATTTTAATGTTGTGTGTAAAAAGTGAGGAGATTCCGGAAGGTTAGACAGGCGTTGTGTGGTCCCGACTGTTCGCCCTAAAATCCTACACCCTAAGAACCAAACGCCCTAAAATCCTGAACCCTAAGCCCCCTTAACCTACGGGCTCACAGAGCTCATGGCCCCCCCTGCGTCTTAGAGGAGAGGTCGATGAGTACACGGATTATTCGCACTGGTAGGTTCAATCCTAAACCCGAACCCCTCAGCCCTATTTTCCAAACCCTAAACGAGGTCTTGGTTTTGGGGATGTTGATTCAGGGTAGGAATGGGGCTGTTGATTCAGGGTTCAAAGGGTTTAGGAAGTTCGGGCATAGGAAGCTCAGGTTTTCCATTTAGGCCTCTTATTTCTTCCGCGGCTTGCCCTGAAGGCTGGTCTAGGCTTCGGAGTGTGTGTGTGTGTGTGTTTTTGTTTTTTTCGTGCTTAGGCCTCGCCGCAAGCACACCCTGGTTGATCCTGCGAACCCCAAACCGTAAACCCTAAACTTTGTCATAGTTGGATAACATCTTACATGTTTAAGGGTACCTAAACCCAATAAGGAATAGAAATTTACATTCTTTAATGCTATCCCAACCATGAACTAGTACACCCCATCTCCTGAAGCGGGAATCCTACAACCCACAGCTCGTTGGGAGTCAAGGCGAGTCCAGCAGCGCGTTTCTCGGCTGAGTTGCCATCTCTGCAGGTTCAGGGTTGAGGGTTTTTATAGGGTTTAGGGTTTAGGGGTTTAGGGGTTTATAATGGAGTTTATGGGGTTTATAGGGTTTTGGGGTTTAGGGGTTTACAGGGTTTAGGGTTCGCGGGTTTAGGGGTTTATAGGGTTTAGTTTGGGGTTTAGCAACCTGCAATCCCTGTAAACCTTACGCCCAACGAGCTCGCAAGATCCGACGCCCCATGCATAAACCCGAGACCCTCTAAACTTCAGGGGTTATATGGACATTTCGCAAACTAGGGGGTACCCCTTTTATTCCCCATATAGAATAGACTCCCCTTAAAGGAACCCCCAAAAAGGGTACCCCTATTTTCGGAAACCCCGGTATAGGGTTTAAGTTTTAGAAGTTGTGTAAGGAACGGGGCTTATAGGGATCTTTGGCCTGAATGGCGCTTCTATGAAGCTCAATGGTTGGTGCTTCGGCTGTTTGTCTAGGAGCTTTAGCAGGGCATCAGATTTACATCAGGATGTTCCCCCCCTTTTTCTAACAGTCCTTCATAGGGATTATATTGGTGGGTACTATAATCCCCTTTTTAAGGACTCCCTGTTAGAACATCCTAAGTCTTTACAGGTGGAGGGCCTCTCGACGCAGGCTCTAAGGGTTGACGTTGGGATGTTCCCCCTTATACTAGCAGTCCTTAATAGGGATTCTAGTAACCCCCCTCATGATAATCTGTACTAAGGGACTGCTAGTATACAGGGGGAAGATCCCGAAGTTTTATGGGTCTCAAAGTTCCGGACCCGAAGCCTGGGGCCTCCAAGCTCCGTGCAAGGTCTACCTTGCCCATCTATGGCATGTCTGGCTGCGCCTCACCTGCCAAGCCGGCAATGCCCTGATGGGATGACCCTAAACCCTCTTAGACGTGGGATGTTCCCCCGTTCTACGAACAGTCCTTAATAGGGATCATACCCTGCCCTTTGTGTAGGGGGGGGGGGGGCTGCATCTGTGGACCCCGGGTTTAAGGCACACTTTTTCTCAGGCCTCAAAACAAAACATCCCGAGGCCGGCACCCTCTTTGCTCTCTTCATGCTTAGGGTTTTGGGGTTAGGGTTTAGGGTTTAGGGTTTAGGGTTTAGGGTTTGGTCATTCGGGCTTGACCCGATTGGATTGATGTGGGGGTTGGGGGGTTGGGGTTTGGCCTGGTTGAATGAGTTTGGCACTCTCCCAACTAAAACATCACGGTCAGTGAAGGCCTCCGCATGAGAACAGGAGACCTGTAAAGGCCCCTAATTTAGGGACCGAAGCCCTGAGACCTAAACCCTGCAAACCCTACACCCTGAACCCTACACCCTAAAGCCTAAACCCTGCTTTCAAGGTCTCAGGCTCCTCCTCCCGGTTGCGCCACTGATTCTGCTGGGTTTCATGTGAGGCGGGGAAATCCCGCTGTAGCCCCAAGGGGTCCAATCTGCTGAGGGGGGTTTCGGTTTAGGCTCGAAGCCCGGAGGCCCTAGAAACTCGAGGGTTTAGGGTTTAGGGCTTAGGGTTTAGGGTTTAGGGTTTAGGGTTTAGGGTTTAGGGTAACCATTGACGTCCCGGAAACATGGGTGACCCTAAAATAGCCCAAGCCTTGCAGGCACCTCAACCAGCAACTGAAACCCGAAGGCTGATCGTGTTTTTCTTAGGCAACTTGGAGGGGTTTACGAGAATAAGGGTACGAGAATAGGGGACCCGCAATATAGACCCCCAAGTAGTAGGATCCCCTTGCAAGAAGGACCCCAATAAGGCACCACATAATATCGTAAACCCCAGGTTGTTTTATTTTCTTAATATAGTGGGCGGAATAAGTACTAAGAGTCTACCCAAAACTGGCCCAACACCCTATTCTAGTTATTAGGACCCCGGTAGCAGCCAACTTGGGAGCTCAGGGTTTGTAGTGTTGGGGTTAGCAGGGTTTGGGTTTGGGTTTAGGGTTTAGGGTTTAGGGGGTGGGGTCTCGGTTGCAGGGGGTTTAGGGTTGATAGTTTTGGATTAAGAGTCCTTTATCGGGATTATACAGCACGTACCCCCTATCATAATCAACAAGTTGGACAGATTGGACCTCAGGGGTAGGCCCTAGGTTAGATAGGTGGAGACTCGAGCCCAAGCTGCACCTGCGAAGCAGGATGTGTCTTTGCTGGGGTTTCCCTAAACCCTAAACCCTAAACCCTAAACCCTAAACCCTAAACCCTAAGCCCTAAGCCCTAAGCCCTAAACCCTAAACCCTAAACCCTAAACCCTAAACCCTAACCCTAAACCCTAACCCCTCTAAACACGAAGCCCTAAACCCTAGGCCGATGTTCTGCCGATTTCCTACGATTGGTCGTTTCAGAAGTCGGGTAGACGGGCCTCAAGAGTTTTTTGGGTTTGTTATAGTGTAAATATACAGGGACCATAGGGGAATAATGTCATTGTGTCTCAACAAGTACTATACGCCCTGCAGGTTATCCAGGGCCGGTACAACCCAAAGGACTTGAATAGACCTCAGCAAGCCCGACGAAGCAACCTACCCTGAACTTCAGTTCACCTTCCATCCGCCTCACCCCAAAACTGAACCTTAAAGCTTCTGAGCATTGCAATCCCCAAAACCCAATTTCGGGCGAGCTACCTGGAGGCTCATGGGTACAATCCTTGTAATATTCTCACCCGACGTCTCGTGAGATGTTTGTTTTAAGTTAGATGTGCAGCTGCAACTGGTTAGCCCTAAACCCGAAACCCAAAACCCTTTCGGGTACAAGTACCCACGAACCTTCAAGAGCTGACCCGCACTCAGTAGCAAGCTGGTCGCGTCGAAGACGCAGCGGCCGGGAGATGAAATCGCGTCCAAGATAGGCTTTGAAGCAGGGCTTTTAAGGGCTTATAGGATTTAGGGTTTATACGGATTAGGGTTTTTTGAGGTTTCGGAGTTTTGAGATTTAGGGCTTATAGGATTTAGAGTTTATGAGGGTTTACAGCCTCTAGGGTTTGTAAGGTTTAGTGCTTATAGGGGGTTGAGGGTTTTGAGTTCTTCCTTTGAGGGTCTATTTCGGATGTAGTTTATAAGGTACCGTGCGTGCCTTAGAAGCCTCGACGGGGCGCAGCCTCCATGTTTTAGTTCGGTCAGCAGCCGACGAAAGGGTCAAGCGGCCCAGGCATGCAGCAGCGCCATCCATGGGCACGGGTCTAGGAATATAGGACACCTGTGAGGATGGTATCCTCCTCACCCACTCCTTAGATGCATGTTGCCAGGCAGTCGCCGTGAGACGCATGAAATTGCAGACTGCAAGGCTCCGAAGAAGCACGCTCACAATGAGAAGAACAACGGCAACAACAACGACGACAACCACAACGACTGCGACACCAATAGCAACGACAACGACGGCGACGGCGGCGGCGGCAACGATAACGATGACGACGACGACGACGACGACGGCGACGACGACGACGACGGCGGCGACGACGACGACGGCGACGACGGCGACGGTGACGACGGCTACGGCGACGGCGAACTCGGCGGCGGCGGCGGCGGCGACGACGACGACGATGGCGGCGACGACGACGAGATCGAGGAGGCGGAGGAGGAGGAGGAGGAGGAGGAGGAGGAGGAGGAGGAGGAGGAGGAGCAACGGGGGGACGGCGGCGGCGGGTATGGCTATAGGGCTCAGGTCCAACGACCCTAGCTAAGTACCTAGTCTGATCATTGACCTCTGGACTACCTTAACCTGCTCCTCGTCGAAGCCCAAATGCCTGAATCCTAAACCCTTTTCCCTAAGCGATCCAAATGTGTACTAAAGGTCTTCAGCCTTCAACGTGTCAGCTTAACAATTTTCAGCCATTCTCAGGGTTTAGTTTAGGGTTTATGATAAGGTTTAGGGCTTATAGGTTTTAGGGTTTAGGGTTTGGGTTTGGGCCCCGTCTTGCTCTAAACCTCCCCACCCTTATTCAGCAAACCCCAGACCCTGCTTTTTTGCCAAGATTCCTGTAGGGGTGGGCACCAGCTAGGGCCCCTGTGTCCACGGGTCCTGCTGCGTGCTGTTCGGGCACGCTCCATGCGCGCTTGCGGAAGTGAGCATGGCCTGGCCCATAACCTTGGGGGCCCAGGTGAACCCTAAAAGGATGAAACGCTTGCAATGGGGGTATGTGACCCCAAATATAGGGTTCCCCGAAACCTTAAACCCTAAATCCTAAACCCTAAACCCTAAACCCTACTAGGGTGTATGGCCCCAACTACAGGGTTCATGGGGTCCCCAAGGACGGGGCCTCCATCAAAGGGATGGCACCTTTTCGAGCTTGGCCGCCTGGGCTCTCCGCTGTTAGGGGTTCGGGGATTATAAGGTTTAGGGTTTAGGGTTTATAGTTTAGGGTTTTTGGGGTTGTTTATGGCTTCGGGGTTTAGGGGTTTAGGGTTTCGGGATTTGGAGGGCTTGAAAGTCCATCCTGGAGCCTTGGATGCATCTGAGTATGTTAAGTCTGAAGTACCCCGAGTCTCTTCGAAAATAATCTTTAGCTTCTTTGTGGCACAATTACAACCACACGCCCTGGCCCGAAGCCCCTAAACTCTTAGCAGCAAGGTGCCGATAAGCTGAGAATGTCCAGTTCAGGGTTTCAGGTTCAGGGTTCAGGGTTCAGGGTTCAGGGTTTAGGGTTTAGGGTTTAGGGTTTAGGGTTTCGAGTTTAGGGTTTAGGGTTTAGGGTGAGAGCCCAGGCTTTTCCGCAAGCTCCGCGCCTTGCGCAGTTAATTATGGATCATCCACTCACGGGAGCAGACTCCGGAAAACGTGCGCGCTCAATTGCCCCATGAGAACCCAAAAGCTGCACCCTAAGAGCACCCTAAGAACTCCCCCCCCCCCCCTAAACTCTAAACTCCAAGTCCTAAACAACCCCAAAAACCCCCAAAACCCCCCAAACCCCCCAAACCCCCCCCCCCAAACCCCCCAAACCCCCCAAACCCCCCAAACCCCCCAAACCCCCCAAACCCCCCAAACCCCCCAAACCCCCCAAACCCCCCAAACCCCAAACCCTAACATCAGGGGCCCGAAGCTGTGTCCAGGATGCTGCTAATGGGCCAAGAAAATGCCAGGAGCCGGACAACTGCGAGATGACTTGGAAGTGTGCAGTACAATTTGGGTCAGTTTCCAAACTTGGGACCCCCCTCATGACACCCCGAAATTCGATAGGTTTCATGACAAGAGAGATGTGTGAAAGTGCAGTATCCTGACTACACTCACAACCCCCAACCCCCTCATTCTCCCAAGTAGGGCCCCCTCTTCTATGATTCAGCGTGGAGCCAACCCCAGGCCTGAGTTTAACCGCCAGATCGACGCCATGTCCTCCTCCGCGCCTTCCATCCCTGGCTGCGAAGTGCAGGTGCCACAGGTCCCAAGCCCTATAGGCACCTATACCCTTAGACCCGTAAGCCCGTAAACCCGATAAGCCTTTGAAGCCTAAAGCCCTGAGCCTTGAAGCCCTAAGCCCTGACACCCCTACACGCCGAGCAGCCATGCAAGCCTTTTATCATCCTAAGCCGCCCTCAGCTCCACAGTTCTTACATCCTCGGAGCCTGGAACCTAAAGCCGAAACCCATGCTTTATTCAAGATTTGAGTTTAGTGTTCAGGGTTCAGGGTTTAGGGTTTAGGGTTTAGGGTTTACTCAGTGTTCAGATTCCCAACCGCCAAATCCCAAGACCTCAGACCTAGAGTGAGGATCTAGGAGTTTAGGGCTCAGGCCAATCGCGGAGCTGCAGATGGGTGTAGAGCATTGGGGTTAAGGAGCCCCCAGCCCTTGAAGCCCCACCCCCCCCCCCCCCCCGGGGGTTTTAGGGTTGAGGCTTGAGGGTTTAGGATGAACGCCTCAAGCCTTTCAGCTCTAAACTGGGATGGGCATGAGGGCTGTGAGGTTATGTAAGTGTTCAAGGTTCATGTAGGGGGTTTCATGTCTGGGTGTGGGGTTTAGGGTTTAGGGTTTAGGGTTTAGGGTTTAGGGTTTAAGCTGTAGGGTTGAGCTTTATGCCCCTAAAGCCCCTAATGTTTTGACCCTGAAGCCCCAGGCCCTAAGTTCTGTGCTGATTGGGCTGAGAACCTAGTTTACAACTCTTGCAACCCAATCTAGGGCATTCACATACCTGCAACTATGTAGGAGGCCCATCCGTGTATGAGCTGCATAGTTCCAGAAAGTCTCTTTCGCTCGTAAAAGAAGACCGGTGGTCCCTGGTTCTCTCCTAACCTAACTTACAAAGCCGGCTGCAAAGAATGAGACCTATTGCCTTGAACGCTTCGCCCTTTGACCGCACATGTGGTGCTACTCCGTGCTTGTGCTTTGGGTTTCTCATGGTCAGGGTGAAGGATTTCAGCGGTGGGGCCACCACTGCTCGCGGCATTTGCGCTGTGTCTCTTTGTCGATTTTGCATGCTTTCCCGACGCAGCTACCTGAATGTGGGGTTAGGGTTCAAGGTTTAGGGTTTAGGGTTTAGGGTTCAAGGTTTAGGGTTTCGCCGCGGAGGCCGCGGAGGCCGACCACGATTCTGCGGGCCGGCGACGCAGCTTGCAGGTTCTCGCCAATGTTGCACATGCCCCTAGATAATTATAACTATTTATTCATTTATACTTATATATATATTTATATTTGTAGTGTGTATATACAGTATGTATATATATAGTGTATATATATATGCATATTATCTAGTACGTCTTTTTAGCTTGGCAGGTTGGTGAGCCCCATCTTCCCAGAGGCTCCCTGACATTCCCTAGGCTCCTTCGCCCCCTTGAACTCCTGCTCCAAAGTGCTAACCCCAAATCCCTGAACCCCAAATGCTAAACCCCAAACCCTAAACCCTAAACCCCAAACCCTAAACCCTAAACCCTAAACCTTCTCCCCAAACCCTAAGTCGCCTAGGATCCCTGAAAGGCATGGCGGGCCTGGAGCCTAGCAGCAGCCCAAGGGGCAGGACGCGGCCCCAAGGGTTTAGGGTTTAGGGTTTAGGGTTTAGGGTTTAGGGTTTAGGGTGTAGGGCCCGGGTGTGTGGATGTTTGGGGGTTCGTACAGGGTTTGGGATGCTTTTGGGCTTCGATTTCCATGCTTTTGCAGTTTGCAGCATGGAGTGGCAAGCTTTATCACTATTGTTATGATTATTCTTCTTCTTGTATTTTTATTCGTATCTTGGATTACTATAAGAATTCTTATCAGCATGGTCACATTTAGGCTTTCTTTGGAGGGGTGGGGGGTCAGGGTTTGATTTAGGGATTTAGGGTTTGGGGCTGGTTGATGTGTCTGAGCTGTTCCTTACCCAACATTTGCTGTCCTGGGGTTTCTCCAAGTTCGCACTCTAGCAGCAAGCAGCTGTAGAAAGCGGGCCGCTGGCCTCTGGATCTAGGTAGGAGACATCATGCACCCTAAGCCTGCGCTAAACCTATGAGATTTGCGGAGATGTGCAGTTAATTCACTCAAGCCTAAACACAAGAAGACATATGTGCATACATAGATAGGCATGCCACTAAGTATACCACAGGTAGGCCCTAACCCCAAGCCCTAACTCCTGTACAACATGCCACAAAACCGTACACCCCAAATCCCAAACCCCAAGCCCTACGCGCAAACCCAACCCCCTAAGCCCAAAACCCTAAACCCCAAGATGCTAAACCCCAAGCCCCAAACCCCATAAACCCCCTAAACCCCAAACCCTAAACCCCAAACCCTAAACCGCAATCACTTCGGCTTTTGCGCGCGAGGCTTGGGCTTGGCAGCCGCGAAGTCCCTGAAGCTTCGGGCCAAGGTTGGTGGGTTTTGCTTACTGATGGTTAGCAGGGAATTTAGGGACTTAGGGCCCTGCATATACCCTTTTAAGGGATTCTGTAGGGGCCCTCATTCCCTCATCCCCTGCTAACCAACAGTAAGGTTTGCTGAGTTAGGAGGGCTAGGGTAGAGGGTTGAGGGTCTATGGTTCAGGGCTTCGGGTTTTGGCCTTGGGGCTTGGAGCTTAGGGTTTGTCAAGGATTTTTCAGGGTTCAGCGTCAGGGCTTAGGGTTTAGTGGGTGTCCGGTTTGGGGTTTTGAGGTGCAAGGGTTTTGGGTTAGCTGTGCTTCTATGACAGCTTCCATCGTTGTGGCGAACATGCGGTGCGGTGACAGAACGTGCGCTTGCTGTCGCGCACGCCAAAAGCTTACAACCCTGCAGCTTAATTATACCCAAATGTATGTGCCTTTACACCTATGTAATAGTTGTATCCACCCGGGATACAACATATATATATATACATATATACATATATACATATATATATATATATACATATACATATATATATGTATATATATATATATATGTCATGGCCTCCTTCCCTAACTGGAGGACTTTGGAGTGATGGTCAGTCACTCTTGGACAAAAGCCCAGGCCTTGAACGCCAGCCCTAAACCCTGAATGTTAAGCCCTAAGCCCTTGGCTCTTAGTAGGGCTTATCGTTTCAGTAATATAGAGGGCGGATTATTTACTAGTAATTTCCCTGGCGGGCCCTTTATAACTGTACAAACAACACCCCCCCAACACCCGATTCTAATTATGAAGGCCCCTATCGTATCTATTCCGGAGGTGGCTTACAACTTTGCGTTCGTGGCTGGAGCGACTCTAGGCGGGCGGGCCGGTAGACTCTGAACGCATAAACACGCACGACTTCAACCTCCCAGACCGGTCTCGTGAAGAAGAGCAGGGTTTAAGGTCTAGGGGTGCGGGGGTTTGGGATTCAGGGTCTTATCAGAGGCCATTTTGGCACTTAAATGGGGTTCTGCGAACCGAAGCTCTAAGCCCTAGAGTAGGCCACTGATTCCTTTTTTCCAGGGTTCAGGCTCCTTGACAGGCCCCTTTAAACCAAAAAGGGTACACTTGTTATTCCTAGGCTAGTCTTGGGTCTAGTCACAGTTGAGTTGAGTTGTTGTCTAGGACTTAGGGGGCCGGGTTGCTCGGGCGTAACCCCCCCCTCCCGCCCCCTCGTCGATATTGGACCTCTAACCTGCTACCCAACACAGGGTATAGGGTTTAGGGTTTCGGGTTTAGGGTTTAGGGTATCGTGTGAGTAGAAATCAGGGTGGCTCAGGGCTGAAGAGTCTGAATGGCACATCCATTGACCTTCAGCTGAGTAAGAACAGAACATACAGTCGACCGCGCAACCCGCAAGAGTTTCGATTAACTCTAACTAACCCCAAGCCCGACATACAAACCCAAACCCTAAACCCTAAACCCTAGACCCTAACTGCCCTAAACCCTAAACCCTTATGAACCCAGGATCGCCGTGAGCCCAGCACACTAACTTTGACCCCCGGGACACCGAATCCGAAACCCCAACATGGAAACCCTCACAGCCCCTTGCTACAAGGGTTTAGGGTTTAGGGTTTTGGGTTTAGGGTTTAGGGTTTTGGGTTTAGGGTTTAGGGTTTAGGGGTTTAGGGTTTAGGGTTTAGGGGGTTAGGGGTTTAGGGTTTAGGGGTCGGAATACTGACTAATGGTATTGCCTTATGGCCCCTATGTGATTTTACAATCAGAACCCCCCCGCAAAAATCCTGCTCTAAGTATTAAGGCCCCTATGTTCGTCAGTTCCCGGGGCTCCAGCAGATGAGTTCGATTTACCAAGCCATCTCCTCACTGTGCGGTTTAGGTTCCAGATTTACAGTGGCTGTTTTGGGGTTTTTTTAGGCCTTAGGGGTTACCATCAACTCCAAACTTGTTGAGCATTGATAGACATGAGGCCCTGACTTTCAGGGTTCTGCGAGTATGTCGGCTTCCGGGGGGTGGGACCGCAGGTGCAGCCATTGCCACACTTCTTCTGAGCTACGCGCGCGGCCGCTCAGGCGCCTTGCTGCACACAGTCGCGAAGTCTTTCTTGAACCGAATATGCAGAGTTTTCGCTATTGGCTTCGCGAGTCCCTAAACCCTAAGCCCTAAACCCAAAACCCTAAAACCTATAAACCCTAATCCCTAATCCCTCTACTAAATCCCTCTAAATGGACCCCTAAACCCTAAACCCTAAACCCTAAAGCCTAAAGCCTAAAGCCTAAAAAGCCTAAAGCCTAAAGCCTAAACCCTACCTCCCACCCCCCCACCCCCCCCAGCCTTGCATCCTTGAGGCCTGGCCCCCAAGGATGGCACCTTGCTGCTCGCTGCGGCCTTTGGTGCAGAGACCTTTCAGCAGGACCTGGCAGGGGTTTAGGGTTTAGGGTTTGGGGTTTAGGGTTTATAGGGTTTAGGGTATTAGGATTCCATTCATTAGGGTTTCTGCTTGAGAGCTTAGGGTTTATTAGGGCTCAGGGTTTCAGGGACTTAGATGGTCATTGTTTCGGACTGGACCAGGTAACTGTTAATCTGCCATCATGTCTAGCAATATGGGGGTGTGCGAAAATAGGGACCCCACAATCGACCCCAAATAGTAGGATTGATTTACAATTAGGACCCCAATCAGGTATCCCTAATTTCGGGAACCCCCCTTATGGGTCCCTAAGCCCATGTCAGGGGTCCAGCCATTGGAGGCGTCCAACTTTCAAGCCTCGAGGCCCCAGACCTTCGTCGCTCAGCTTCTGCTTTTTAGAAGCACAGGGGCGCTAAGGGGTTTTGGTCTTCGGGAGTCCGAGCCTTGGAGTAAGATAGGAGGATGTCGGGGCTTTAGGGTTTAGGGTTTAGGGCTTCGGGCGCAGTAGTCGTCCCCTCCTGAAGCTCTGCTATGCAAAGCCACCCTACTCGTTTAGGGTCGAGGGAAGATCGGGACCTTGAAGCAGACCCTTCCCAATTTGAACCTTAAATGCAAATAGAGAACATGTGGCCAACCGCCGGGCTAGGTGCCAGGCTACATGAGTACGTGGGAGTTCCCTTGTAAACCCTACCAAAACAAAACCGGGTTCCCTTTGATACCGTGGAGCCTAGTTTAGGGTTCATGGCCCCAAGGGCTCGACATCGTAAGCCCCCTGCTGAAGTGGCAGGTGGTGCACAACAAGTTCTGCAGCCTTCTTTTCCGACGCTCGACCGGCCACAGTGTTCAGGGGCTCTTTAGGGCCTCGCTCTCATAAGGAAGCAGAAAGGTGTAAAGGAGGGGGGGGCGGGGAGTGGGGCAGGGGTGTCAGGGCGCGTCGTCATTAATCAAGGAGGGAAGATGGGCCCCTTTCAGCACCCTCCCTTACACCAACGGGCTCCTGAGCATTCGGAAGAAGAAGTTGCCAAGTCGGGTCTAGGCTTGACATTCTTGACCCTTCATCTTGGGTCCTTTTTTGCCTCTGATATACCCTTTTACCCCTAAACCCTCAACCCTGAAGCCTGTGACCCTAAACCCACTACCCCGGGAGTCTGGTCAATTGGACTCAAAGGCTTCTTTAGGCCCAACACCCTTAAACCCTAGGGTTTAGGGTTTAGGGTATTTTAGGGCTTAGGGTTTAGGGTTTAGCAAAGGGTTCACCCTAAACCCTACAACCTTAGGCCCAAAACAACTTGGGAGTCAGAACACTCCAGGTTTTGGTGGGTTTGGCACAGGACTTACAAAGAACCTCAAAGTACCGAGACCCAAACCCGTACACCCCATACCCTAAGCCCTAAGCTCGGAGTTCCCCCGAAACCCTAAACCGTAAACCCTAAACCCTAAACCCCAACCCTTAAACTACTCTGGCCGGCCACTGAGGATGCAACTGCACCTGGGAGTGGGCAGGCGGCTGGGATAACTGTGGCTCGGCTCACACGTATGTTATATGAAGCCTCAGAGGTTCAGGGTTTAGGGTTTAGGGTGTAGGGTTTAGTATTTATGTCACCGCTATTGAGGGTCGTAGACGTCCCTATGTAGTCTGAAAGGCTTAAAGCCTGAAAAATCTTCAGTTTCAGGAAAGCTGGGCAGGCCTTTGGAGATTTTTAGGGCTTCGGGCTGAGGATTTTGCAGGTGAATCGGGGGCCTTATGAAGGTCCCCTCTCAAGCCTCCTCAACCCTATCTACTAAACCCTTAACCCTAAAAACTCTATCGGCCCTAATCCCTGTAAACCCCCAAGCCCTCAAAGCCGTAAAGGGCGTCGAAGCCCTGAGGCTCGCTCTAAGCCTGGGCTTTGGGGGCTTTTAAGGGTTTAGCGAGCCCCTGCACTCTAAACCCTAAATCCCAAAATCCCAAGCCCTCAGCCCTAAGTCCCAAGCCCTAAGCCTAGGCAACGTTCACAACGCGAGTGGCCCGAGATGCCCATGGTGCGTTGGAGACCTTAGACATCCCCCGGGGAAGAAGGGATGCAGGTTTGAGGGCTTTAGGGTTTATATAGAAGCTTAGAGGAGCTCTGGGGTCCCTTCAAGGTTGGGGGGAAGTTAGACGAATCGGCTTACAGGGTTTTGGGGGGATTCTCTCGCGTGGGGATGGTCGGGATCGCTAGTGGACAGACTGTGGGTCTTGCGCGTCCTTCTGGCTTTGGCTTTGGTTTGCCTGTTTCGGTATTCTGGTTTTGAGACGCAGTATGGAGTCGAGCAAGCCCCCGCTTACCCTAAACCCTAGACCATAAAAACAACTGTTTAGAGTATTGTCTACGACTTCAAGCATAGTCAATCCTCGTTCTGCATGGGCTCTTTGGCAAGATTCTCTCGCCTTCCCCACAGGCTTTGGAGCGGTTTCGAGTTTGCCTCTGTCTCTAAACAGAGGGTTTAGGGTTTGTGTTAGGGGTTTCGGGAGTCTGGTTTAGTGGTCTTGAGGGTTCAGGGTACATGTTTGTAAAAAGAGGCAGTTTTTCCTAAGAAAAGCACCCAAAAAAGGGGCTCAAGCTTTGCGAGGTTTCGCATCTTAAGGTGGCATCCTAAACCCTCCAAGAATCCCAAACCACCTTTAGGCCCCAAGCTGAAGCCTATATAACCAAAAAGCCCAAACCCTAAACCCGAAACCCCAAACCCTAAACCCTAAACCCTAAAACCCTAAACCCCTCTCTTCGGGAATTTCATGTTTAGGGGTGGGGGTTTCCGGGGTTTCATGGTGGCCGAGGTCGCCAGGCAAAGCATCTCCTGGACCACCGCATCTACGCCTGCAAGATGGAGCGAGCCTAGATCAGGGTTTAGGGAGTAGGGTTTAGGGATCAGGGTTTAGGGTTAGGATTTTGGGTTTAGGGCTTAGGGTTTAGGGGTTGGAATTCCTGGGATTAGGGTTCATGCAGGCTACCCACTTGCAGCTTCGTAGCCGAGTAGGCAGTAGTTATCCTTTAGCCTTTTTGGGGTAGCAGGGGTAGCAGGTCTCACGCCAACTCCCTGGGGACACCGCTTTGCACGGCGCTCTTCAACCTTTCTTGGGTAGTACATTCCTTCTCGTACAAGGCTGAAGTAATCTTCAATAAATCCTAAACAGCCTCGGGGTTTAGGGCATGTTGGGGGGATGGCTTCGGCTCAAATTGGAGTGGGGTTAAGGGCTTAAGGTTTGGGGTTTAGAATGTTTAGAGTTCAATCAGGGTTTAGGTATTGAGGTGTCTCAGACTTTCGGGCGGAGCAAAACCTTTGTAACGCCGTCGCGGCGGCTAGCTCCCTGTGAGCTCTGTTGAGATTTGCTTGCTGTTGAGTCACATCTAAAATGAGCTTCAGGGCCCTGCACCACAGCGGCTCCCTCTGAATCACCTTGCCTCAAAGACCAGAGCTGTCGAAGGCACAAGCTCAGACAAAAGTAGGTTCTGGTGCTCAATGTAGCTGCTGTGCCTTGGCATCGTTGCAAAGTGCAAAACTTTCCCCTTCCCACTTGCAGATTTCAAACCTGGGTTTTACATGGCTGCGGGCCCCAATACCTACACCCCGCCAGGCTCCTAGGTTTGCCCCCCTGGTTCTTAGTAGGGAATGAGGGAATTAGGGCCCTATATATCCTTCAAGGTGAGGGCCCTCACTCCCTCATTCCCTCATTCCCTACTAGGAACCAGCCAGTTGTGCTGAGGACTGCCTCCCCCTGGCGACGATGCTGCTCATCTTTGGCGAGGCAGAGACGCGCTGGGAGTCGATGGGGGCCAGGGTCGTTTGGGGTGTTCTACCTGGAGGTTCATGGGACTCATAAGTAGTGGGGTTCAAAGTATCCTAATGGAGGTCAGAACCAACTCTAATCTAGCTGTAATTGCTCTAAATATTATAACCCTACTTATACGTAGCCAGGAACTTGAAAGAAAGGGTTCGAGTTGTAGGTTTTTATGGTTCAAGGGCTTAGGGTCTTACAGGGGTCATAGTTTTTGGACTAAAAGGTTTTATAGGGTCTAGAAGGTCTGTATGGGGTTTTGGTTTAGGGCATTTTTGAGTTTAAGGGCTCATAGGTCTTTTTTGCAGATCTGTATTGACAGCGTCGTTTTGACTGATTTGCAGACTGTCGGATTCGCTGATTCGAAGATTGATGGTGGATTTGGGACTGGTCGCGGGTTCGCGAATTGGCAGATTCGCGGATGAACGGATGGCGGATGCGCGGATTCACGTGCGGGTTGGCGGATCCGCAGGCTCGCGCCCGGATTTGCGGATGCATGATACCAAAAGCTTATAGTGGCCATGAGCCGTAGAAACCCTTCAAACCCCCTTCCCGAGCTTCCAAACCCCAGCCCTGTAAATGCCACAACCCTAAACACCCTCACGTCCGAACCCTGAACTGGGTTTTGGAGTACTATACTTTAATCTTTCTTTTGGTTCTGGGTTCCTATTCTAGATACTTATACCTAATACCTTTTTTCCAGGGTCTACTCCAAAGCTCCAAAGTAGGGTGAACCCTTCATATCCCTTAAAGCCAGGCGAGGGCGAGAAAATGCCACCTGTCGATTCAGCTCCTGCTGCCAGCCGTTGGCTTCGTGGTGCTGAGCGGGTGTCCCCAGTTGATGTGGGTGTGAATAAGGAGGGTCACACAAGGCCTACATATTCGGTGCATGTGGGGATTGATCTACAGGTCTTCTTTGGTGTTCCTCTTACCCTAGGAAGACATTGCCCCAAATTGGGCTTTAGGTTTTTTTGCCAAGCCTTAGCGCCCCGAAGCTTCCGCACACAGAGCCCACGAGGATCCCAAAATTGCCTAAAGCCCACAAGAGTTCTGAAGACTCCAAAGACCCAAACCGCCGAAACTCTAAACTGAACACCCCTAAGACCCTTACCCCCCCCCCCCCCTCCCCGAACCAAACCAAACACCCAAACACGCACGCACGCAGGCGCGCGCACACACACACACACACACAGAGACACAGAGACACAGAGACACAGAGACACAGAGACACAGAGACACAGAGACACAGAGACACGGAGACACAGAGACACGGAGACACGGAGACACGGAGACACGGAGACACGGAGACACGGAGACACAGAGACACAGAGACACAGAGACACAGAGACACAGAGACACAGAGACACAGAGACACGGAGACACAGAGACACGGAGACACGGAGACACAGAGACACAGAGACACAGAGACACAGAGACACAGAGACACAGAGACACAGAGACACGGAGACACCGAGACACCGAGACACGGAGACACGCAGACACAGAGACACAGAGACACAGAGACACAGAGACACAGAGACACAGAGACACAGAGACACCGAGACACGGAGACACGGAGACACGGAGACACGGAGACACGGAGACACAGAGACACAGAGACACAGAGACACAGAGACACAGAGACACCGAGACACGGAGACACGGAGACACGGAGACACGGAGACACGGAGACACGGAGACACGGAGACACAGAGACACAGAGACACAGAGGCACAGAGACACAGAGACACCGAGACACGGAGACACGGAGACACGGAGACGCGGAGACACCGAGACACAAAGACACAGAGACACAGAGACACAGAGACACAGAGACACAGAGACACAAAGACACAGAGACACAGAGACACAGAGACACCGAGACACG